AAGCTGGCGCTCCAGTTTTGCTTAGAAATTTGAGTGTGGTGTCCAGACTGTAACATGTCCCAGATTTCCCATACTGTTAGAGCTGTATTTGATCAATCCCCCCACCCTGCAGCCACTGCCTTACTCCTGTCCTGAGTGTAGTTTATTCAGCAACTGCTTGACTGGTTTGAAGTCGGTGCATTATCTTAAATAATGCAATGCATATGGTTGTTTCACTGCTTATAAACTGTGCAAATCTGGTTGCCCCAGGACTTAATGGAGCTGCTGGATTGTAGCTTCCAACCAAAAGGCGTTCAGGATCCTTCACAAATTCGGATTGTTAATGACATGCAAAATGACATTGCCTTTAATTATAACACAGTTGTTTTTTGTTGTGTTTTTTTTTCTCAACTTTTAGTTTCTGTGACTGTAGTTTGAGAGAAGTCTTCTTTTACAGAAAAGAAAATTTCAAATTCCAAGATACTCAAACTTTCTTATTGAACTTGATTTTATATATAGTGGTCTATACACATATATGGCAGAGTGGAAAACCTATTCGTGCCCCACAATGCCTCTTGATGGTATCCCATCAAAAAGCTGCTGTTGAACTGAGATCTGTCTGCTCTTAAACTAAAGAGAGGAAGAAAAAGAAGTTTTGGGGGTTGTCTCGTGTGAAGTTGTAAGTCTTGTGTTGTAAAGGAAGCGTGCAAATTAGTTATGATGCTTGTATAAGGTGTGTGGTATTTTGGTGCTGCAGTGTTAGCTGTGACTCAGATTCCCCCACGTGTTAGGTGCTGTATACTTTTGGAGAAATAATTTTGTCTTGGTGTCTTGTGAGCTATATTAAGGTTGTGAGCACTGCTTACTCTACCAAGCGGCTTGTAAACAGAAAAAAAAAAATATCTTGTGTGCCTGTCTTGAAAAGCTGTGTTATAACAAAAGAAAGAAAATAATGGGTGGCTAATAAATTAATGCGGTTTTTAATGTTGGATGTTGACTATTGCAATGTCTTTTTTCATAGTATTCACTTCTTGTGCAAGAAGGAGGTGAGCTGCAGGAAAGCCCCAAGCTCTTACCCTTCCTCTTCTTTTTCCTTATGGTATGTGTAAAACTTACACAAACAAATGCTACTGATTTGTGAAATGAGGCATGTTCTGGTCCTCATGGCTATCTGGGACAAGTGGGGGGAACCTCCAGATGTTAACTAAGTAATAAATTGATACAGTGCTGTCTTTGTGTCTGTAGACAAATCACCCTTGTGCCTGCAGTGCTTCTAGACTCGCCAACCTACAGCAAAGTGAATTAGACCAGCATCTGTAAATTTTCAGAGCTGATATTGATAACTTTTCCATGGGCAGCAACTAAACTGGTTAATAAATAAATAAATAAATAAATAAATCGGCCACTGTCATGTTGACCAGGAGGGGCAGGGTCATCGCTGGTTGTGGAGTGCCCCAAAGTGCCGCTTCTGTCCTTTTCTGGGAGCCACCAGAAACATCCAGGCAGAAAGAATGAGCAGTGGAGCTGGCAGCCTGGCTGCGATAGCAGGCAAACAGCTGTAGGCCGTGCAGGGGTCAGGAGCTCGCAGGGAGCCTTCATCTGCAGAAATGACTGTGCAACCACTTCACTCGCTACGAAAGCTGGAAGAAGCAGTGTTTTTCTTTACATCGGTGGCTGCTTCTGGTGGATGCTTGCCGAAAGTCAAATCGTACGTCCTTGGCACAGGTTAGATGAAAATATGAGATAGCCAGACTGTCAAGCTGGTCCCTCTTTGAGGGCAAACTAAGGACACATAATTTAAAGTCATTAACCTCCGAGTATATTGCATTTGGTCTGTGCTGATTTCAAGGCATCTATTGAGCCAAAGTTGGGACAAGTAATTGTGCTAGCACGCTCTGCTAGAAATCGTTCTATTTTTAGTACAAATAATGTGAAGAAATGCGGTTTTTCTTTAGAAGTAGCGAAAGCATTGCATGAAGAGTTGCTCCCACATACACATGCTTCCTCCACCTACACAAGTCTGCAAGTTGTTTGTACTTTTTTCTGGGTTTGAGCCTTTCGTATTCGTAGGTTTGCAAACCCTTCTTGTATGATATTTGATTACTAAGTGTTGCATGTACCTTGTGTGTTTATTCTGTGCTTGTAATACAGTTATTCCTCAGGTTTTTGCCTCGATCAGCTTCTTCAAAAATTGCTTTGAAACTGTGTATCTTTTTTACATTTTAATCAGAAGCTGTATTGCTCCCTTTTGTGGTACGGCTGAAATTCATTTTGTGAACCCCAGCTGTTAAGCAGCTTTGGAAAAAAATGTATTCACTTTTTAAAAAAAGGGGCAAAAATAAAAACACCCAAATGCAGCTTTCTTATGTTTGGGATTAGAAACTTAAGGAAACAAATCTTCTATTAAAAATATTTTGGGCAGTATTTAAACTGTTGCCTCTCAGACCTGTCAGTAGTCTAGCAGTGCGTTGTTTGTATTAAATGTAGAAGTAGGGCTTTGCTTTATACCAGCTGTTTGACTGTTAAATAATGTTGTTCGAAAGTTGTGGGTCCCTTGAGGGTAGCAGGCGGTGTATTCAAAGTGAAAGTAGGTTACTGATTCTGCAGAGTGAAGTGGTTTTAAGACCAAATAGCTTTGATAACTCGGAATAAGCCCCTTTGTTGTTTTTTATTTGAAGTGGTACTGCTTTCATACAAAGTGGTTTATTATACAAAATATTCCTTAAATGAGCAGAGGTGAAATGATGGCAGGATATAGGTAAAGAGAATATTTTGACATTCGGTAAATGGAGGGTGGAGGTAAAGCTTCCTTTTCATGACAAGTTTTTTTGCTTTTTCTGGCTATCTAGCAGCAGCATTCTGATAGCCTTCCTGATTTACTCATGCAACTTGCGAGAGATGGTTAATATGCTGAGGGAATAATCGGGTATCATTTTCTACATGACACAGTGATTTTTCTGAGCTTCTGAATAATTCATTAAATGTTGTCAAAGAAAAAGCTAAACTGGATTTCATCATGCCCACTGCTTTCTAAGGGCCCTCCTGGATATAGGGTTGTTAATTTTGGCTTGCAATCCTGACCAGTTTCTTTTATTATTTACTCGTTTTTCCATCTGAATATTACTTGTGATCACAAGCCAATGTCAACAGCCCATTTCCACGTATTTCCTGGACCAGCTGGGTCTTGCCACTCATCTTCCTGCCTCACCTCTGGAGCTGGGAAGCTGGGACCCGAGGCCCTGCTGAGGATGGAGCGAGTGTGCAGCGGCGGGAATAGACCCCACTGTTGCGGTGCTGTGAGTCTGTCTGCAGGTCACTCTGTCAGGCACCTTCAGGGTGCTTTTTTGAGTGCATTTGGAAATGTTGGAGAACTGTTCAAGAACCTGTTCAATTAACTTTAAGCTGGTAATCAGACAACTGGTTATTGGTCCGTCACTTTCCCGAGCGTATCGCTTCACAATGATTGCAGGGCACAGTTCAGTCTTCTCTATTATTCAAACCACCGAGAGCTTTGGTAGATTCATCTCGTGTTCAATTAAATTCACTTCAAAGGGGGAAATTTCTGGTGGAGGAGTAAAATAGTAACTATAATATATAAATTGTATCAAACCGTGTTTGGGTGGAGGTTACTGCATTTGTAGTGTGGAGAGTATTTTAACTCAGTAAAATGTGGAAGGAAATTTGTCGTAAAAATCCATGTCTGTAATACTGCTTTAGGTTGGTTGCTTCTTATTGTTGCTCCAAGAATACTACTAATAAAAATATCCATATGATTCTGCAAAATCCAAGCGTTTTATACCTGTCTGCTGGACTTAGCCCAAGCTTATAGCCTCAAGGAAGTTTTCAGACTCCAGTAGTGGGGATCCGTTTTCTGCGCACTGAGCTGCTCAGTCCATCCATTTTCTGCTAGGGCCCTTCTCTGTCCTCTACTCAGGGAACATCTCTTAGGCTCTATCCTTATTTCTCTTCTTCTGCACCCTCTAGTTGCAGGTTTAGTTCCGAGTATACTGTTTGGTCAGGAGTTCTAATGTGTTTCTGACTTGATCTGCCTAGCCAAAAAGCTTGGCTTGATGTTGCAATACTGCACCACCAAAATGCAGTTGTCCTGGTGAAAAACAGATGCGAGAGCTTGATTACTTTTATTCATTAGGGATCACGTGGCATTTTTTGCAAGAGGAAGTAACAGTGTCCTGGTCAAATTCCAACTAGGATAACTGCAAGTGAAATTTAGATGGGCAAATGTAATAGTTGTTTGGATACTGCATTGAGGAACAAGTAGATGGGGGAAGGGAGAATGAGACAAAAGAGTAAGTGCCTTAAATCAAGAGGCTGTATGAGGGATCTCTGAGGTGGAAACAAGCAGGGGACACGGTGTTCTTAATCTGATTTAGTGCTGCAAGTTAAAAATGCCTCCATTGAAATTCTTCATGCATGTCTACATTAATGAAATGTTGTTTGGTATAATATGTCCTCTTTCTGGGTAAGCATGAACTCCCTTTGGGAGACAGAAGGAGAAGAGGTATTTCTGTGTAGATATGCACCTTGTTTGATGGAGAAATGTATATGGAGAGTCTTGGGGCCATCAGTGCTCCTGAGAGTCCAGCAGAAACACAGGTCAGCATCTCGGCCTAGCGTTGAGGCAGGTGGCAGTGATCTTTGGTGGGTGGAGAACATACATTTTGAAATGGATAGCATGCCTCGATTTTCATATCTCAGGAGTCTAGTACCAGTTGTGGTCCCCACAAAAGGTTGCACGTATTTGTACCTAACTGCCAGTTTTGCTTGAGACAGTGCTGTAGGACAGTCCACCCCCAGCAGATATGGCTCATAGATAATATACCCTGTGCTTTACCCAGTTGTACAAACTCAAAACAAAATAATTTGCTGAAAAAATAGTAATTTTTTTTTAATTGACTTTGTTTTCTCTGTTGTCTTTTATAGATGAAATGTTCAACAGTTCGTTGGCAGCATTCTTCAGAAGAATGATTACTACTGCTCTGCTCTTGCCATAATACCAGAAATCTGTGACCTGCACATCAGTGCTAAGCACCAGCAGAGAATCATATTTTGTTCATTCTGTGTAGATGGAACAGGCATCGGTCTTGAGAGTCCATCCTGCTTTAAAGCTGCTTACTTGGTTTTCTGGGATTAAAGGTGCTCAATGAATCAGGGCCCCCCAAATGAGTCAAACAGCCAATTCTTGCCAACAGTTGGTTGAAAACTGTGCCGCGCATGTAGCAGGGATGGCGCAAGAGGACAGTCGCCGTGGTCAAGTGCCACCCACCTTTTATCATGGTGCCAGCCAGGAACTTGATCTGTCCACCAAAGTATACAAGAGAGAGTCAGGAAGTCCTTACTCTGTGTTGGTGGACAGCAAAATGAGTAAACCACATCTCCATGAAAGAGAGGAGCAGCCATATTTCAGGGAGAACAGATCGGTAGGAGAGGTCCGGGCTGTGAAAGAAGATAGAGAAAACACTGACGACTCTGAGGAGGAAGAAGAGGAGGAAGATGAAGTGACTTACAAAAGGGAGCAGATTATAGTAGAGGTAAACCTTAACAACCAAACATTAAATGTATCAAAAGGGGAGAAGGGTGTCCCCTCCCAGTCCAAAGAGACTGCTGTTCTTAAGACCAGCAGTGAGGAAGAGGAGGGTGACAGTGGGGAAGAGGCCACTGAAGACAGTAATGATTATGAGGAAAATGAGAGGCAGAAGAAAAAAGAGAAAAGAGTGGAAAAAGTTAGTGTTGCACAAAGGAGAACAAGGAGAGCTGCATCTGCTGCTGCAGCCACACCTT